TGTTTCACCAAATTGTGGGGGGGGGGGGGGAATGGAAAACACTACATCTGCATATAAGTCCAATTTTCAATTATTTTCTAACAGCTTTTGTTTTGTTTGAGACAGTCTCACTATGTGCCTCTGGCTGTCCTGGAAGTCTCTATGCAGACGAGACCAGCCTCACCTCTGAGACTCACCAGCTTTTGCCTCCCTAGTGCTGGGATTAATTAATATGTGTGTCATAATGCCCAGTTGTAAATAGTTTTACATACTGAAACTTTATAGTTTCTAAGCAACAAATATTTCTATGTAATTCTCACCTGTAAATAAGCTATTTTGAAACATTCGCCTAAAAGGACTTCATGTTTAAGAAAAAAAACAAAATTCTTGACCTATTGTTTTAGGGTCTTGCTAAAATTACTCTGTTCAAAAGTTAAAAGAGCCAACTCCTAAAAACTTAAAAGAGATTTTTTCCTTCCTTTTATTCTGATAGTTTTTAAAAATTATTTTCCTTTTGTTTTTAGAAAACTCAGACTACAGATGAGCCTAGGAAAAGTGTGCAATGGATACTGTCATTTGCTGAGAAAAGATAAACAAACTAAAGGCTACCCTTAAGTCTAAATAAGAAATATACTCAAGAAAGATAGCAAAATCTGACTAAAGAGAATAATAACACGGGGAGGGGGAGGGAAATGGAAGGCAGTGGCGGGGAAGAGACAGAAATCTTCAATAAATAAATAAATTAATTTAAAAAAAGAAAAAGAAAAAAAGAGAATGATAACTGACTATTGCACAGGTATTTTATATCTACTCATTAAAAACATAAAAAGAATATCAATTAAAAAGATCTGTACCGTGAAAAACAGAACTCTAATTGTTTTCTCAGACATTCTTTTAAGTCTTCTGTAGAAATTGTTGAATTGCTTTCTCCTGATGGCAGAAAGAGAGAGAGAAAACTGTTAAAGTTGTCACAGGTAAAACTTAACACATATTCTGAAGTCATCGATTAACTACAAATTAAAATGTAAAACAAAACTGTATTATTAAATCAAGTCTAATTTCTTTCAACTTACACTTTTTCCAGCAGTACTTCATACTGACTGAAGCTTCATCTTACTGAGCTGGAGCTGAACTCCGAAACACAAAGAGTATTCATCTAGCATGTGTGTGGCAATGGACTCAATATGCGTTGTCACACACATAGTTCATACATGTCAGTGAGTACAGTGCTTGTCATACAAGCATGAACCCCAAGTTCAAGTCCCAGAACACACATTAAAAATGTCAAATGTGATGACATCATAGCGCATACTTGTACTTCCAGTACCATGGAGGTAAAAACAGGAGGTCCGTGGGGGCTCTCTAGCCAGCTAGCCTAACCTAATGAGTGAGCCCAAAGCCTGTCTCAAAGACCAAGGTGGAGAAAAGCACAGATGCGCGCACACTTCTCTAAGAAATAAGGAAGGACCATTCGAACAAAAAGTATTTGACTACTATGAAGTTAAACATTGCCCTGATCTCATTTGTAAAATTGTGAGGCAGGCAGATCTCTGAGTTTGAGACCAGCCTGGTCTACAATGTGAGTTCCAGAACTGCCAGGGCAACACAGAGAGACCATTTCAAAAACAAAAACATAAAAAATTGAAAACTACTCAGTTCTTCAAGGGAACACGAAAGAAAACAAGAAACCCCAAACTAAAGGTGATCTAAAATTTAAGACAGGAACTAAAGTGGGATAGATTGTGTTTATGTAACTATCTGCTCTACTAGCATGATATCCACTGTGAGTCACACTCATAATTCTCTTTATACCTTTTTTCATTTCTTGACTTGTTTCCTCAGTTGCTTGGTTTTGACTTTTTGAGACAGCATCTTAGGTAGTTTAAACAAACTTCAAACACACTATGTGGGTAATAATGACTTTCAAGTCCTAACCCTTCTACCAACAAGTGCTGAGATTATATTGCACAGGGTAGGTCTTACTATGTAGCCCAGGATGGCCTTAAAACACAGACTATAAATCCTCCCCACAAGGAAGGAACACAGAAAAAATGACTAAGAGCAAATGTCCTCTCATGATTCTAGAGAAGTTAAGTAACAAGATGAACCCTAAGCGAAGCATATATAGATTCACCTGTAAAGTCGAAATAGACAAGATTGCCTGACAAAATTGGGAGCATGGGGGTGAGGGGAGAAGGAAAGATGTGAGGGGAAGGTGGAAAGGAAAGGGGAATGGAGAAGGGGAAGGAGAACTTGAGGGAACGGATAATCTAGATGGAGGAAGAATAGAGATGAGAGAAAGGAAAGAGTTATCTTGATTGGGGAAACCATTATGGGGTTAGCAAGAAACCTGGCTCTAGAGGAATTCCCAGGAATCCACAAGGATGATCCCGGCTAAGACCCTAAGAAATAGAGAAAGGGTGTCCGAACTGACTTTGCCCTGTAGTCAGACTGATGAGTATCTTAAATATCACCATAGAACCTTCATCCAGCAACTGATGGAAACAGAAGCAAGAGACCCGCATCAGAGCTCTGGACTGAGTTCCCAAAGCCCAGTTGAAGAGTGGGAGGAGAGAGAATATGAGCAAAGGTCAAGACTATGATGGGTTCACCCACTGAAACAGTCTGCCTGAGCTAACGGGAGCTCACCAACTCCAGCTGGACAGGGAAGGACCCAGCATAGGTCCAAACTAGTCCCTCTGAATGTGGTTGACAGTTGCGTGGCTGGAGCAGACTGAGGGGCCACTAGCAGTGGCACCAGGATTTATTCTAACTGCTTGTACTGGCTTTTTGGGAACCTATTCTCTTTGGATGGATACCTTGCTCAGCCTAGACATAGCAGAGAGGGCCTTGGATCTTCCCCAAAGCAGTGTGCCTCACCCTCTCTGTGGAGTGGATGGGTGGGTGTGTGTGTGTGTGTGTGTGTGTGTGTGTGTGTGTGTGTGTGTGTGAAGGGAATGGAAGGAGGGGAGGGAGTGGGAACTTGGATTGGTATATATAATGAAAAAACATAGTTTGTTCTCTTTTTATGCACACATGTATTTTCATGTGTGCATAGAGGCCAGAAGTTGATATTTGGTGTCCTCTATCATTCTCCACCTTAGAGATAAGATCTCTTGATGAACCTGCTATGGTGGCTGGCTAGGAAGTTCCCAGGATCTGCCTGTCTCTGTAACTAGTACTAGGGTTAGACTCAAATCTACTATGCCTAGCTTGTATGTGGGTGCTTGGAGTCGGGATTTAAGCCCTCCAGCAAGTACTTCACTCACTGAGCACACCTCCTTGGACTTAATATTTCCTCAATGATTAGTTGCTAAACTTAAAATAAACAGTGATAAATTAATTTCAACAGTAATGATGGTTTTTCATTCTAAGTATACATATCCCTCCCTCTCTCCCTGCTTTCTTCCTTCTTTCCTCTTTTGAGACAGCATTTCTCTGTGCAACAGCTCTAGCTGTACTGGAACTCGCTTTGTAGACCAGGCTGGCCTTAAACTCAGAAATCCTCCTGCCTCTGCCTCCCAAGTGTTGGAATTAAATGAGCACACCACCACTGCCCCAGTAATATATGTAATCTAAATAATTTTTTACATTATTATTTTATGTACATGAGTGTTCTGTCTACATGTATGCTTCTGTATCACATCGTGCCCAATGCCACTGGAGGACAAAAGAGGACATCAGATCCCATAGAACTGGAGTTATGGATGGTTTGTGAGTAGCCATGTGGGTGTGCTGGGAATCAAACCCAGGTCCCCTGGAAGAGTGCTATTAACCAACAAGTGAGTCATCTCTCTCCAGCCCCTGTGGAATCTTGTTTTTGAAAAAATTATTGTGGGCTGGAGAGTTAAAAAAAGTACTAACTACTTTTTGCAAAAGACCCAAATTTGGTTCCCAGCACCCAAGTTGAGAGTCTCACAACGATATGTAACTCAAACTCCAGGGAGATGCAACCCTATGGCCCCCACAGGCACAAATATATACACATTATTAAAGAAAAAAAGTAATAGTGTGTAAGAAAATGTGTTTAGGCGTGCATATGGCAACCGGAAGACAGTTTGTTGGGTTGGTTCTTTCCATCTACGTACATGTGGGTTCTGGGAATTGAACTTAGGGTAGCAAAGCACCAATACTCCATGAACATTTTCACCTGTATATGCAATCTGTTATATAAAGGTCACCTCTCCAAATGCTAAGTGAATAACCAATTTACTCAACTTTCAATGTCATTTACAGGAAGCACATTCAAACTAGCTGCACTACACCATTTATCAAGCCTATATTCAAAGTAGCCAACTAGGGGCTGGAGAGATGACCCTGACTGTTCTTCCAGAGGTCCTGAGTTCAATTCCCAGCAACCACATGGTGGCTCACAACCATCTACAATGAGATCTGGTGCCCTCTTTTGGCCTGCAGTCATAATACATGGAGGCAGTACACGGTATTGTATACATAATAAATAAAATCTTTAAAAAAAAAACAAAGTAGCTAACTGTTAATTATAATATGACCATAAGGTAAAAGGAGACATCACTTTCTTTTTGTTAATTTACTTTTAATAATTAATTTTGTCTGTGGACCACCATGTACATACCCGGCCCCTGCAGACCCAGAAGATCACACTGGATCCTATGGAACTGAGTTACAGACCGCAGTGAGCTGCCTCATAGGTGTTTGAGAATGGAGAGCAACCCGTCATCTCTCCAGCTATGGACTTATCACTTTAAATTTTCATACGGGAATAGCAACCCCACATCTCAGAAATTACCTTATAAGTCAAAGGACTTAGAAATCTATCCTGGGAATGGATATGCACACGAGGTAGAAGCTAGCATGAGGAACTGAACTGAGATCCTAAGCACCCAAGTAAAAAGTTAAGCATGGCTGCCTCAGTATAAGGGGGCACACTAGTGGTCACAAGCTCACACAAACCAGACACACAAACAATTCTAAGTATTTAAAAGGTTAATTAAAGCTAGGAATGGTACTGAACACTTCAATACCAGTACCATTTTGGAAGCAGGCAGATCTGAGTTTGAAACCAGTTTGGACAACTTAACAAGTTCTAGGCCAGCCAGGGCTGCATACTTCATATGACACAGCCTCAAAGAAAGAGGAATAATTGAAGATAATTGCTTATAGATTTTGTTCTAAATCATAGGGTTATTTGAAGCAGAAAGAGATATGCCTATTACAACAATTTTTCCAAAAGACCCTTTAGAAAAATAAAGTTAGATAAATACAATCTATAGTTCACTTCAGTTTCTTTTAAATTTCCTCCACTTTTATGGCTAGAGAGATGGGTCAGCAGTTAAGAATTTTTTTGTAACCCCTTTAAATCATATTGACTACTACCTTCAGGCTGGTTGGATCAATATGAAAAAAAAAAACAAAAACGGAAATAAAAAACCATTGCAAACAGAATCACAGAAGTCGGTTGCTGACATTAAAGACAGACTCCACATTATGTCTAAGTGAGCTTCAAACTCTCAATCCAGTTGCCTCTGACTCCCAAGTGCATGGATTAGGAGTGAGTGTTTCCCCTGCCATCTAGAACTATGTATCCCTCCCCCCACCGTGGACCTGGCTGTTCTAGAACTTGCTCTATAGACTAGATTGGCCTTGAACTCAGAGATCCATCTGCCTCTGCCTCCAACTTGCTGGGATTAAAGCACACCACTGCTTAATATATACTTTTTTCTTAAAATTAATCTCTGAAATACAATACTTATTTTAAAATAAATTTCATGCTGACAAAAGTGATAGAAAAACTGATAAAACTGCAATTATCAACTAATAAAGTGAGAAACTCATAACTTTTGAAATTTGGATCTTTCAATTACTTTCTCCTGTTATCTTTAATCTCACGCTTTTCTCTAACAGGTCTCTGCAAAGACTTCCTCTACAAATTTTATGTCTGGGTACTAGCCAACAGTATTTTTAATAATCACCTAAAAGTTGTTTGATAAACGCTTCTTTTCAAAATAGAAAACAAATTGATCAATATCATGTTTATCAAAACAATGACAGGAACAGAGCTAAGGATATTAAATTCTCATTTTTAGCAATAAAAAACAAAGGTTACCAGAAACATCGTATATTTGATAACTCAGATCTTCTGGTCCTAAAATCATTCCATCAGCTGACTCTTCGATGTCTGTAGTATTTCCTGTGGTTTCACAAGCGGGAGAATACATGACTTCATACTCCTTGCACATATCTTCTGAAAGTTCTGGATTACCTGTTTTTAAGAAACAGTATTAAAAGTAAACAGGAATTATTTAAACCCACCTTCAGTGACTAAGTCATCCTCTAAAAACAATTTCAAGGAATTGTACCAGTTGGAGAAAATTTCCCCATTGGCAAGAGTTATTTCTGAGCTGGGTGGTGGTGGTGCACGCCTTTAATCTCAGCACTTGGTAGGCAGACAGGTGGATCTCTGAGTTTGAGGCCAGTCTGGTCTATAGAGCGAGTTTCAAGACAGGCTCCCAAAAAGTTATTTCTGAAAACAGACAAGTTTTGACTGTATCCAGCTAATTCCTTTGCTTACTTTCCTGGAAGCATCAAACACAATGACGGGTTATCACTTTCCGTTCTTTCTGTTATGCAGATGAGGGAAATAAGCATGCCAGGTTAACTGCCCAACACCAGTGAGTCAACACATCTGATGATGACAGACCCAAGCAAATCTTATCAGAACTTCTAAAGGACATGGGCTATAAAATGGGCTAGATGCTGACCCAAAAACACATACATTAGTGACTAAAATCATGTAATATATAAAAAAAAAATCATTGACAAACTATAACGCTAAGCATTCACAAATAAATTCAAATCTTTGGACCTGAAAAGTGCCCCCAACTGTTTGAGATAAAAGCTTGGCACCTAGTGTGGCAATATTTGGATAAACTGTGACTCACTCCATCATTGTATTAATCTGAGCTAAAGACCTTAGCAGCTCTTAGGAAATGATGGCACCCTAAGAGCTCCGTGGAGCCTAAATGAAGATAAGAGCTTTGTGGTGGCAGGTCCTAAGCTCTTTTCTTTCGGGTTCTTTGTTTGCGGGTCCAGTGATCAGCAATTCTGCTTCACCAAGAGACTCAAAATGCCCAAAGTGATGGGACCAAGTTACTATGAACTGAACCTCATGAACCAAAATAAACTTTCTTCCTTAAAGTTGACTTTTCTTATATATTTTGTTCAGCACAAAAATGTTAACCAACACAGCAAATAACCAAAGGCTATCTCAAAGTTGTTTGAGCTAATTTAATCATACATTTAACCAAAATTTAAATTTTCCAATAAATACTTAAGACTTACCCTCAGGATGAGATCCAGATGTGGCTGCAGTTTCATGCCAAGTGCTTTCCGTTACAGGAGTGCCATCTGGATTTCCAGAAGGAATTTCTTGCCATACTTTGGCATTAGGATTTAAACCAGTGCCTTTAGATGTCACCTGCTAAACAATCAAAAAAGATCTGTGTAAATTGAGATCAAGGGCTTTTTTATTACTTAAATTTGAAAATAAAATAAAAACAGCAATACTAACGGACAAACAGTACATAATTATTAGGTCTGTGTTCTCCCTACTCAAGGGTCTCTACACAGCTCCAGTTGTCATCAGTCTTTGTCTACTTCCTAAGCATCAGGATTACAAGTATGGTCAGGCGATGGTGGCGCAGGCCTTTAATCCCAGCACTCGGGAGGCAGAGGCAGGCGGATCTCTGTGAGTTCGCCTGGTCTACAGAGCTAGTTCCAGGACAGGCTTCGAGAAACCCTGTCTCGGGGGGGGGAAAAAAAAAAAAAAAAAGGATTACAAGTATGTAATCACCCAGCCAAATACTAGCTTCTGATCCATGTGAAAATAAAACATTTAAAAGTAATTGATCTGAGATAAGAATTTCAGATTTCGATGTGAAATATGGCTACCCATGTAATAAAAAATATGCACCTCTACAAAATAGTTTTCTTGTGAAGATAGGGTCACGCTGTGTAGCCCAGGCTGGCCTAGGACTCACAAAGATCTGCCTGCCCATACCTCCTGAGTTTGTCATTAAACGCATGTACTACTATGCCCGGCCTTTTTTAAACACTCTTTAAAATGCTGCCTGAGCAGGTGGAGGAACAGGTCTATACTCCCACACTTGGTAAAGGCAAGAGGATCAGAAGTTCAAGGCTGACAACAACTATTAAGTTTGAGGTCATGTTGAGCTACATGAACCTATCTCAAAATAACAAACAAAATTTTATTTTTAAAATAAACTGAGGCCAGGCGGTGGTGGTGCATGCCTTTAATCCCAGCACTAGGGAGGTAGAGGCAGGTGGGTTTCTGTGAGTTTGAGGCCAGCCTGGTCTACAAGAGCTAGTTCCGAACAGGCTCCAAAGCTACAGAGAAACCCTGTCTCAAAAACAAACAAACAAATAAATAATAAATAAATAAATAGAGAAAGTACTATTTTACACCAACCTATTTGAAAAGATAATAAAATTTATTGAAAGTATTCACATATCTAAAATGTTTCTAAAAGCAATGTAGTAGGCACTCTTAACTGCTGAATTTCTCCAGCTCTCTTCGAATTTTAAAATTTATTATTTACCGTATGTGTGTACACAGAGATCAAAGGATAATACTCAAGAGTTGGTTCTCTCTCAATCGTGTGTCCTGGAAATCAAACTCTTCTTAGTGCCAAATGCCTTTATCTTCTAAACTGTCTTACCAAACCCTTCACTTAAAAATCCCCGCCCCATATGTATGTGTTTCTAGGAGGCCTATCTGTCTTTCCAGCATTAAGTCATGAATTTCTCCCATACTCTTCTAAAGAGTCAATCTTTTACTTGAGTTTCTCCCAGTAATATTCAATGAAATATTATTTTGTTACACTCTACTGTTTGCCATATATATTTCTTTTTCTGTTTGTTTGTTTTGCTTTGGTTTCTGAGATAGGGTTTCTGGCTGTCCTGGAACTCACCATGTAGACCAGGCTGGCTTCAAATGAAAAGAGATCCACTTGCCTCTGCCTCCTGAAAGCTGGGATTAAAAGTGTGTGCCACCACCACCTGGTTTATATTTCTTCACTGCTTTCTTTTATCAACTGAAAAAGTTATGAGAGCAAGCAAAATAGCTTAGGAGGTAAATGACCTGCCACGCCTGACAACTTGGGTGTGATCCCTAGAACCTAGAAGAGAGAACTGACAAAGTTGCCCTTTGACCTTCACACACCCACACCATGGCATATGAACACATTTAAACACCACACACATACTAATAGTAATACATTTGATTTTTTTTAAGTTTTGAAACTAAATCTGGAGGAGAGATGGATCAGGTATACTGTGTGCCGTGTCTAAGATCACTCATATTTTAAGAACAAGTACTTAAGTACTCCCCACCACTCTACCATTAGTTACTCGCTGGTTAGTGATTGTTAATTTAGTTAAAGAATAATTTTTGATAGCAGAACTACAAAAACTTGTGCTAGCCTAGGTCTCCTCAACGATATTTAAAACTTGCTGGTATCAATGTTATGGGGGGGGTGTGATTACTGTTTAAATGTGGAATCTTTTTGTTGTTTCGAGATAAGTCCTTCCCTCTCTGTATAGTCCTGGCTGGCCTGGAACTCAGAGATCTGCCTGTCTCAGTACCTTCTGGCACTGAGCCCTAAAATGTGGTTGCCTTTCATTGATTCTACACAATTCTTGGAAATAATCTCTTTACATTTTGCCCCTCTGCTTTATTACTTCTTTCTGGACCTCCAATACAACATACATACACCTTCTCATCTGTGTACCATCTGTTCCATGTATCAAACTTTTTTTTAAAACTTCTGTCCTTTTTCTTCCTCCAACCCTGAAAAGGAACCTCACTATTTAGTCCTGACTGATCTAAAACTTCAAAAATACGCCTCTATCTGTTTTCTGAATTCTGAAATTACTGGCATGTACCACCGTGCCAGGCTTTGCATTCTAAGCAATTTCTTAATATCTTCCTTCAGTTCACTAAGTTTTTTCTAAGATGCTCCCCAAATAATAAGTTGTAAGTCTCTAAGTCCCTTTTTGTCATTTTATTTTATTTGTGGAAAAACTGAGAATTATGCTTAAATTGGACTCTGTGTGTGTGTGTGTGTGTGTGTGTGTGTGTGTGCGTGTGTGTGTGTTTCAAGACAGGGTTTCACTATAGTTATCAAGCCTATCCTGGAACTAGCTCTTGTTGACCAGGCTGGCCTCAAAGTCACAGGGATCCACCTGCCTCTGCCTCCAGAGTGCTGAGATTAAAGGTGTGCGCCACCACCGCCTGGCGCTTAAATGGACTCTTATGAAGAAAAATTTTCCTTTTCTGGGTGCACCATGAACCTTGAATTATCATTCTCATTCATATTCATTCATTCATTCATTCCCTCCCCGTCTCTCTCCTAAGATCCCCCCCCCCATCTCTTAAGTGTTGCTAGGATTAAATATGTAGGCCTCGCTCAGCTACCTTACATTCTCAATCTAGGGCTTTGGGAAACAATAGGGTGGTGAATTTTAGTCATATTCCATGGGGGTTGGGAGAGACTGGGGTTAGAATTACTGAAGGCCTTTCCCATACGAATCAAGGCAAAACTTGGCAGTTTCCCTTTTCTCTAAGAACTACCACTTGTTTGCTTCTGATTTACTTTGTATTCTGCTTCTGAGCACAAAGCACTACTAGGCCACCAAGGATCAAATACTAAGGGTAGCCCAAGTTTTTATCAACTTCTACAAGTAAGTACTGGTACAGCTACTTTCTTAGTGACTCAACACTCCTAAGGATCACATGGAGAAGCAGAAGAGAGTGCTCTGAAGAAGGGCTGAGTAAATTGAGTAGCCTTGCTTTACAGCCAGCTCTTGACAGAAACGCTTAAACACAAGAGACCATAGCCACTTGTTCAAGACAACACTGCTTAGTCACCGAGGAAGGAGAAGCCTCATGACATCATAAACATTCCACAACCTCAACACGTCACACCAGGGATAATATGGTTCTACATTAACAGTGAGAATAAACCGTAACAGCAAAGAATCCAGTTCTAAATTTTTCCAGAAGAATACAACATATTTTGCTTTTAAAATTAAAGAGTAATTAATACATTTGAGAAGCAAGTATGCAGAAAAGTAAGCAGAAATAAAACCACTATTGTTATTAAATAATTATATAATTATAGGTTTTGACATCTCTAAAATCATAAGGCACTTTTATCACATTATGGGGGCTGAAGAGACAACTCAGGTTAACAGTGACTTTTTCCAGAGGACCCAGGTTCAATTCCCAGTACTGAGATGGCAGCTAAAAACTGTCTGTACTATGTATAGTTCCAGAAGATTGAATACCCTCTTTTGGCTTCTGTCTGCACCAGGCACAGACATACATGCAGGCTAAATACCCACCCATGCAATAAAATAAAAATCTGCTTATGGTTTATACATTCCTTGAGCACCTTTGTTCTGTTTTGTTAACTATACTTTATTTTATCAGAAACATAATCGTTTACGGAGTACACATGCCTGATATTTAGGCAATGGGTCTCAAAAAAAAAAAGGGGGGGCAGAAAAAGTCAGGCAGTGGTGGCATACACCTTTAACCCCAGCAGAGGCAGGTAGTTTGAGTTTGAGGCCAGTCTGGTCTACACAGTGAGTTTCAGGACAGGCTCTGAAGTTACACAGAAAAACCCTCTCAACCCTTGCCCCCAAAGATAATTCGTTAATTTAGTTAGGAACGAGCCTAAAGTAAAGCCAAGCTTTCATAATTAATAAGAAGTCTCCGTGTTATTTGAAAGATTCATTACAAACAATCCAGTAGTTCATTCCCATCATTTACACAACTTCTCTATAGAACTGACAATACTGGTCAAAAAAGACTTACATGTACACATTCATTGGTCCAGAAATCATACTTATTTGACTTACTAGGCAAACAAAAGAACAAGTATTGAAAAATGTGACAAAAGGATGTTCATCATGGTTTTTATAACAGTGAGCTAGAAACATTAGACGTATTTACTCGTACAATAACCCTAGTTCATACATTAGAATACCTCAGAGCCTTAAAACCAGACGTATGAACTCTGAATACACTTTAATAAAGTCAATTTGTTGTTTACCCCATGCGTATGCAAGGCGTTAGTACCAGATGAAACTACGCATAAAGCACACAAGACCACCTATACAGATCCACAAGTGGGAGGAATTACTAAGTGAATGAGGAAATGTTCACAAAAACCTTTATAAAAAAGAAAGCAACTCTCTTTCTATGGAAATTACTCAATTGTATGAGAACAATACACATGTACAAGAAAAACTTGTAGAGATCAAAAATAACCAAACACTTACCCCTAGGCAATAATGCCTTTTATTTCATTTTTGTGCTTTTCTACAATTTCTAAAACTTAATGTTACTTTTATTATTTAGGTTAACAAGTAAAATTTCACTTATTTTAAATTATA